TATAAATCTTGATGAAGCTTACAAGTCTAGAGTTAAAGCGGGCAATGGAAATTTGTTGGAAGTCAAAGGCAAAGGCTCAGTCAATGTTCAAATAAGTTCAGGTATTAAAACTATTCCTAATGTTTTGTTTATACTTGAAATCAGTCAAACTCTACTGAGTGTTGGATAAATGCTTGAGAAAAATTATTCTCTTGAATTTAAGGATTATAAGTGCACTATTTTTTTATCCTTATGGAGAACAATTATTTTGTATAAAGATGAAGAACAAAATTTTTATTGTTGATTGGGAAAAGGTTTCTGAACATGCCTATTCCAACACCATTCAGGTTGTTTCAAATCTTTGACACAAAAGATTTGGGCATTTTAATCAGAGAAGTATCTCAAATATGAAGTAGAAGGAGATCATTGAAAACATGCCTACAATCATTGGTGAAATTCAATTATGTGAAATATGTCAACTTGCCAAGTAGACTAAACTATCATTTCCTAAAGGACAAATACAGAGAGCCAACAAAAAACTTCAGCTCATCCACACTGATGTGTGCGGTCCTATGAAAACAGCCTCATTTTGTGGTAACAAATATTTCATCATTTTCATTAATGATTATACTAGCATGTGTTGAGTTTACTTTATTAAACTCAAGAGTGAAGTGTTTGTTGTCTTTCAAAAATTTAAGGCTTTAGTAGAAAATTAGAGTAATCTGTTGATTAAATATATGAGATTTGATAATGGTATTGAGTATACTTCGAATCAGTTTGTTGAGTATTGTAATAATGCAGGCATAATTCATCAGTTTATCACACCATACACACCACAACAAAATGGTGTGTGTAAGAGAAAGAATAAAACAGTAATGGAAATAGCTAGATATCTTTTACTTAAAAAGAAGATGCCAAAGAAACTATGAGTAGAGGCAGTTAATACCTCTATGTATTTGTTGAAAAGATTACCTATCAAAGCATTTGAGAACAAGGCACCATATGAAGCCTAGAGTGGTGTCAAGCCTGCTGTGGGTCATCTTCGAATATTTGACAGCATATGTTATTTTCAAATATCTGAGCAAAAAAAAAAAAGCAAACTTGACAACAAAGCTCAAAAGGGAATTCTTGTAGGCTATGGGACAACAACCAAATATTTATATAATTATGGGTAATTATCTGCTTGCAAACAAAAAAAAGTCACCCTAAACAGAGATGTGAAGATTGATGAAATAGCAACATGGGATTGGGAAAATAAAAAAAATGTGTATTTTGATTCTTCATTTGCTATCCAGAACAAACTTGAAGCTGATGAATTGGTGGATGATCTTTTAATTAGGGGTACAAGAACCTTGGATGACATTTATTAAAGATGTAATATTGCAATCATTGAACCTACCAGCTATGCTGAAGCTCAAGATTTTTTAGTATGAAGGAGAGCAATGGATGCAGAAATGAAGATGATCAATAAAAATAAAACATGCCAGCTAGTTAAATGGCCTAAGGATCGCAAGATGATTGGTGTTAAATGGGTTTTTAAAACAAAACTCAATGCAGATGATTCAATATGTAAACACAAAGCTAGATTGGTTGTGAAGGGTTATGCTCAACAATATGGAGTGGACTACTAGGAGACTTTTGCTCTAGTAGCAAGGTATGATACAAGTAGACTTCTCATTGTTCTTGTTGCTTATAACTCTTGGCAAATTCACTAACTTGATGTCAAGTCAACTTTTTTGAATGACTTTCTTGATGAAGAGATTTTTATAGAGCAGTTAGATGGATATGCTATTCAAAGGAAAGAGGATCATGTGTACCTACTTTTGAAGGCCTTATATGTTTTAAAACAAGCCCCTTGTGCTTGATATGACAGAATGGACAATCATCTTAATTAGTTTGGGTTCAACAGAAGTCAAAATGAAGTAACCTTATATATAAAATTATGTGATAATCATCTCTATTTATGTTGATAATACATTAATCACAGGAAGTCAACTTCGACTGATCCAAAAGTTCACGAACGAAATGAAAAAAGTGTTTGAGATAGCTGATCTTGAAACTATGAAATATTTTTTTGGAATGGAAATATTGCAATCTAGCCATGGCATTTTCACCTGCCAACAGAAATATGCATCTAATATCCTAAAGAGGTTTAAAAATGGAGGATTATAAACCAGTGGGGACACCTACGATAACCAGTATCAAGTTAAATAAGGATGATGACTTTGAGAAGGTGGATGAAGCTTGTTTAGAAGCTTAATTGGCAGCCTTGACTACCTCATAGCAAGTAGACTTGATATATTGTTTGCTGTAAGTGTTCTTTCAAGATTTATGCATTCTCTAAAGGAAATTCACTTCACAACTGCAAAATGTATACTTAGGTACATCAAAGGTACCATTACTTTTGGTACTTTTTTCCCAAAATCCCAAGGAGAGACTTTAAAGTTGATTGGCTACACTGAAAGTGATTGGGGAAGTTGTGTTAATGATTCAAGAAGCACTTCATGGTACTTATTTTCTCTAAGTTCTAGTTTTTTTTTTACTTGAAGCTCAAAGAAGCAAGAGACAATAGCTCAATCTACTACAAAAGCTGAGTATATCATTGTTGCGTCTATTGTCAACCAGGCTATTTGGTTGAGGAAGATACTTAAGGATTTGGGATATGAGCAAGCTGAAGCAACCAGAATTGTGTGTGATAACATTTCTGCAATCTCAATTTCAAAGAATCCAGTCTTTCATGGACGAACCAAACATATCAAGATTAAATTTTATTTTATTAGAGAAGTCCAACAATATAAAAAAGTGATATTCATCTGAAGAACAACTTGCAGATATTTTTACCAAGCCATTGCCTAAAGGAAAGTTTCAAACTCTGAGGAAAAAAATTGGAGTTTGTCATCAAAATGCCAATGAGGAGTGTTAGACATATGACATTTTAATTTCAGCACATTGATCTACTGTTTCTGTTAGTTTCTTTTTAGTTTCATTTAGTTTCTCATCAATTTTATCCACTATGTTTAGTAGGGGGTTATTAGAGATATTAATAAGTTAGTGGCTGCTTATGACTTAGATATTAACAGCAATTTCTCATTAGTTTTATCTATTATATTTAGTAGGAAGTTATTAAGAAAGTTAGTTATTTTTCTTACTTATAAATTCTATAGTTCATTAAATAAAATCAAGATAGAATTTTTATCCATTTTTTAAGTTTTAGTTCTTCCAATTTTTTGTTTTAAGTTGCTCCTATTCTGTTTTACAATACTAACTTTAGGCTAAATAGACATATTATTAATAATGTTATTATTACTTAGGAAGCCATCTATCCCATGAGAAGTAAAAAAAGGAGATAAGGTATATGGATATTAAAGATGACTTTTAAGAAAAACGTATGATAGACTAAACTGTAATTTTATATGGCTTTTGCTTAATTGGATTCAGTCATGAGGTGCATTAGATTCCCCTCTTTATAAGTGACCATTAACGGCCATATCTCTAAAAGCTTTATCCTATCTAGAGGTAGTAGTCAAGATAACCCTTTATCTTCTTATATATTTATTATATGGATTGAAAGATTAGATCACCTTATCCACAAAAATGTTTATGTGAGTAATCGAAAGCCTATTAAAATGAAATATCATGGGCCTCTAATTTCTTAACTTTTCTTTCTAAATGATCTTATTTTATCTGTTAAAGCTTTCTTGAAGCAAATGCAAATTATTAAAAACTATTTCAATCATTTTTGTAATAGTTCAAGTTAAAAGGATTAGTCTCCCAAATCTTGTATTTTCTTCTATAAGAATGTTTAGTAACCTTGTTAGGAGCTTAAATGAGATTAACACAATTTCTAGCACCACAAACCTTAGGAGATAACTTGGTGTTCCCTTGATTTGTGTGGAGGTCACTAGGAATATACATTAAAAGACTGTGAATAAAGTTCGAACTGGGCTTGTTGAATGGTTGATTCCCCACTTTTTTTAGGGTTGGGAGAACTACACTAGTTAAATTGATCCTTCTATCATCTCTTCTCATGCCATGTTTACTATTCAACTCCCCACTTTTATCTCTTCCCACCTCAATCAACTGACCAGAAATTTCATTTAGGGATTAAGTGTTGGGGATCACAAATCTATGATATAAGATCAAAGAAAGTCTACCAACCCAAGGGTAGAGGCT